CAGACGCTTAACGACTGAGCCACCCAGGCGCCCTGAGAGAGAGAATCTTAAGCAGGCTCCACACTCAGCATGGAGCCTGGGGTGGGGCTCAATACAGGGCTTGACACAAAGCTTGATCTCATGGCCCAGAGATCATGATCTGAGCCAAAATCAAGAGTTGGATTCTTAACCGACTGAGCCACCCAGGTGCCCTTGTACTAGCATTTCTTTCTTTTTTTTTTTTTTAAAGATTTTATTAATTTATTTGACAGAGAGACACACAGCGAGAGAGGGAACACAAGCAGGGGGAGTGGGAGAGGGAGAAGCAGGCTTCCCCCGGAGCAGGGAGCCTGATGTGGGGCTCAATCCCAGGACCCTGGGACCATGACCTGAGCCAAAGGCAGATGCTTAATGACTGAGCCACCCAGGTGCCCTTGTACTAGCATTTCTTGAAAAGGAGGTCCCAGGTTATGTTGTAAGATCTATGTTTCTTAAAGGGCATCTAGTGGAAATAGTTGATAAAGTTTTTACCTTTGTAAAAAAGGAGAGAATATAACATTTCTTCTTGATACTGGAAGGCATCCAATGAATTGTATTGCCTTCCAAGTTACCAGAAAATGGTATCAACATAATTTCTTCTTACATAGTTAAAAACAGTCATTACATTGAAGAGGAAAAGAGTTTCCCCTTAATTTTAGGGGAAGAGTTTTATCTAAAACTTCCAAGGTCATTAGAGACTGGAAATAACATTTGTTTTCTCTGAGGGAGGTATAGTAGTATGTATCACCAAGTGCTTGTGCACCTCAATAATTTATCAATCATTTATAGCATTCAGAATCTATAACAATAGGAAAATACTGAATAAATTTTATATTTTCTGCATGCCAGGTACTGGACTGTGTACTTTCCATGAATATAATATTCAATCATCCCCATCCTGTGAGACAAATATGATATTTTAATCAGTTATTGAGGTATAACTTACATACAGTAAAGTGCATCCATTTAAATTGTACAATTCGATGCATTTTTGTAAATGTATAGACCTAAGCAGTGGCCAGCACAATAATGATACAGAACATCTCTATCCCCTCAAAGTGTTGTTTTGTGCCCCCTTTTTAGTCAGTCCCTTGCCTTCACCCCAGTGCCTGGAAACCACTGGTCTGTTTTGTCACTACAATTTCGTCTTTACTAGAATTTCATATAAGTGGAATTACAAAGTATGAACTTGTTTTTATCTGGCTTTTTTCACTTAGCATAATGCTTTGAGATTAATCCACATTTTTGCATGTGTCAGTAATTCATTTCTTTTTATTGATGAGTAATATTCCATTGTATGGATGTACCCCAATATGTTTATCCACTCACTAGTTGATGGACATTTGGGTTGTTTCCAGTTTCTGCCTCTTATGGATAAAACTGCTGTGAACAATAATGGACACATGTTTTCATTTCTCTTGGGTAAATACCTAAGAGGTGTATTGGAAAACTTGGGGGTGGGGGACAGGGAGAATTTGGGGAGGATTCAGTTATAGGCAGAAACATTTTAAGAAAGCAATTAAAAAATGGGAATAGAGAGAAAGGTGCTCCAGAGGACTTCAGATTGGCCTTACAGTGGCCATTTTTTCCTTGAGAGGTGCACCAGGCCCTGGGTTGTGGTTGCTGAGGCTTTGCAAGCCAGTGGGCTCCCAACCACCTCAGGCTCTTCACAGGCATTTCTTGCCATCAGAGACTACAGTGGACCCATTGGTCTGGGTGTTCTGTGCTCAAAGGAGGTGGCCCCTGCCATCCGTGGGGCCATCATCCTGGCCAACTCTTCCATTGTCCTCGTGTGGAGAGGCTCCTGTGGGAACAAGATCAGTATGCCCACGCTGTTCCATGTGAAGTGAAGTGGCTGGCTGCTGTGGTTCATCCCTGCCACCCAGAGGCACTGACATTGTCTCAGGAAGCTACTGATGATGGCCAGGGTTGACAACTCTATACCTCGGCCAGGGCCTCCACTGCCACTCTGGGCAACTTTGCCAAGGCCACTTTTGATGCATTTTCCAAGACCTACAACTGTCTCACCCCTGACCTCTGGAAAGAGACTGTGTTCACAAAGTCTCCCTATCAGGAATTCACTGACCATCTTGTAAAGACCCGTGCCAGAGTCTCTGTGCAGAGGACCCTGGCTCCCACTAGGGCCACCACATAGTTCTACACAAGAAAAATAAAGTGAATTAAAGCCTGATTAAAAACATATATATAAAAAATAAGAAGGGCACTGGTTTCTGTAGTGGTTGTACCAGTTCCAGGTGCTCTTCATCCTTGCCAACAACACTTGGCCTTTTGGGTCTTTTTTATTATTGCTGCTCTAGGGGGTATGTCGTATTTCATCACAGTTTTCACTTGCATATCTCTGATGTGTTATCCAGTCTCCATGGTGACACCCAGTGATTCTGACCTCCTGGTAGTCATGCCTAGTCCAATCCCATAAAAAGTAGGGATGACCTGTATAACAAATGGCCTATTGCAGGAATAACAACTGAGTGACTTCTGAGCCTCGGTCGTAGAAAATGTTATAGTTTCTGTGTTGTTCTCTCTGAGACCACTCATTCTGGGGAAAACCAGCTGTCATATCATGAGCATACCACTCAAGCAACCCTATGGAGAAGTCTGTGTCACAAGGAATTGAGTCCATGTGCCAATAGTGCTAATTTGCCAGTCATGGGAGTGAGCCATTTTGTAAGTGGATCCTCCAGTCCCAGTTGAGTCTTCTTGCTGATAACCTGACGGTGCACTCATAAGAGACACTCTGAGACTGAACCACTCCGCTGAGCCATTCCTGGATTCCTGTCCTACAGAAACTGTGTGAGGTAATAAAAGTTTACTGTTGTTCTAAGTTTGTTACCCTGCAATAGGTAACCAGTACAGATTTTGAGACTTGAAAATGAGGTGCTACTGTAACAAACATTTAAGCCATAGGAGTGGCTTTGTTACCAGGCAGTAGATAAAGGGAAGGACTTTGAAGAAAACATTAGTGCAAGCCTACTGATAGAACCTTGATGGACTTTGAGGAACCTGCTGGCAAGGGCTTATGGGTAAATATGGTCGGCATAATTCTAAGATGGCTCTCAAGATTCCTGCCCTATAATTCATATGTTTTGTACAATTACTTCCCTTGAGTGTGAGTAGAACCTGTTAGCATGATGAAATATAACTTCCATGATTATGTTGCATTATACAGCAAAGATTTTGCAGATGATATTAAGGTCCCTAATCACTGAGTTAATCAAAAGGGAGATTATCCTTGGGGGCCTTAGTCATAGAAGCCCTTGAAAGAGACAAACAACAGTGTAAGAGGTTCTCCTGCTGGCCTGGGAGACGTGAACCAGCATATTTTGAGATGGCCTATGGATCGTGACATGTAGCAAACAGGAGAGTACCAATGTTCTGCAGGCAGCATAGGGAAAGGTGTTGTTGGTAGAGGGAACAACATGGGTAAAGTGTAGAGGCTTGAAAGTGTATAGTCTGTCTTTGAGTAGCCTAGCCAGTGGGATGTGTGACAGAAAACACCATCTGGGAAGTGTGTAAGGAGCTGGACTATCTCATGCGTGCAGCAAAAAGGAGTAATTTAAAGCAGGAAGGGGACATTACCATTATCTTTAGAGAGCACTTCCTATGAACCAGGAACTAAGTTGAGAATGTGTATGCATTACCTCATGGAATCTGTAATAGTACCAAATGAAGAAGTTACTATCATTATCCCCACTTCAGGGAGGAAACTCAATCTTGGAGAAGTTATGCCCAAACGTAGTACCCAAACTTCACCTAGTGAAGCTCAGAATCTGAAACCCTTAAAGGTATGCTTGTTAATCATTTCTACATGACACATCTAGATGAGAAAAAGAAAACACAGAACTTTATTAAATAAATGTAAAGTCAGGTCCACTCCAAGAAACTTTTACTAAGTACTTAATAAACTGGTCTTCTAGATATGCGCACTGGTACCGCAGCGAACAAGGTAAAAGCAAATAAATAATTTAAAAAGTAAATAATATTAAGTGCAATAACTGCTAGTAAGAAGTAGAGGATGCTAATTTTTAGCTGGAGTAAGGAAACTTTTTTTTTTTTTAAGATTTTATTTATTTATTTGACAGAGAGAGAGAGACAGCGAGAGAGGGAACACAAGCAGGGGGAGTGGGAAAGGGAGAAGCAGGCCTCCCGCGGACCAGGGAGTCCCATGCGGGGCTCGATCCTAGGACCCCGGGACCATGACCCGAGCCGAAGGCAGACACTCAACGGCTGAGCCACCCAGGTGCCCCTGGAGTAAGGAAACTTTTAAAGTCTTTTACTATATCGTTATTTAATAATCTTTTTAAAAAGATTTTATTTGTTTCACAGAGAAAGCACAAGCAGGGGGAGCTGCAGAGGGAGGGAGAAGCAAGCTTTCCGCTGGGCAGGGAGACGAAGGCGGGGCTCAATCCCAGGACCCAGGGATCCTGACCTGAGCCGAAGGTAGATATTTATCCGACTAATCCACCCAGGCGCCCCTATTTAATAATTTTCTGATGTTGTGTCTGTTTTACAGAGATTCAGGCAAAGTTTGTACACCTAAAACCAAGAGGGAAACCAAAAAGAAGTAACTGGAAACCACAAGCCTCCTCCCGAAATCCGTCCTGCCCCTCCAGGGCCCCGCCCTCCACTAAGCCGCGCCTCTTTGGGGTTTTCGCTTTAGCTTCAGCCAGCCTTCCGCTAGGGGCTCTCTTCCAGGATCCCGCCAAGGCTTATTTACTCGCGAGAGTTCCCTCGTCTAGGAGAATCACAAGGGGGCGGCAGGAAAGACAGAGAAGAGTCGCGAGATTTGGCTCGACCACATCCCTCCCCGGACTCCTCCACCCCTCCTTCCCCGCGCTCCTTCGGCAAGGCTTGCCGGGTTGCACGTGTAGTTGTTGTGGTTCAATCTCACGTGGCCGCGGAAGTGCCGCGCTACTGGTCCCCCTCCAAGATGGCGGCGCCTAGGGAATGAGAACCTCGACTGATAGCCTTGGAGGTGTCTGCGGGGCCATGGACCGGCCTGGGTTCACGGCTTCGCTCGTGGTGAGTGCTGGGCGGTAGGGTGGGCGCTCGGGGTGCTGGAGTCTCGCACTGGAGCCCATAGTGGCTTCTGTGCCCTAGCATTCTTCCGGTTTTGCGTGTTGAACCGTCCTGGGGTCACTGGTCACTAGGCAGGTCTGGGAGGGAGCGCGGGGTTTCTGGGTCAAGGTTGTGTCATTCCTACTCGGAAAACAGAAGGGGACGGGGGCGTTGGGGGGGTGCTCGACAGTCTTCCGCCAGATGGTTTACCTAAAGAAAAAAAAGAGCTTCAATTATATACTGTAACCACACTCTGGAGAACTGGGAAATTAAATATATGTAACAACAAAAAACGTTTACATCGCATAGACTCCTCCCTGTCCAGGACTGTGGTTTTCATTTAGCTTTTATCTGTTTTCACTCTCGGAAAATGACCTTTCATTCAATATATAATAGATCTGTTTATTTTCTTTCAAGCGTTCTTGTAGGCTTTGGGTATAGTGATAAGAAAAGTAGTTACGGAGCCAATAAGATGGTAGTGTTTAATTTCTTAGAAAACTACAAGAATCAACATGTTCTCACATCAAAAACAAAACCTAAGAACAAAAATTTCTGTAATATTTTGAAGCTTCTGTTATGGCAGGTCCAGCAGTGAATACGGATTGGTCATTGTGGAAGAGTAGACAGAAACAGTATTAAAAAAAAAAGGCAGCTTTTTTTTCTTAAAGATTTTATTTATTTATTTGAGAGAGAGAGAATGAGAGAGAGCACGGGAGGGAAGAGGGTCAGAGGGAGAAGCAGACTCCCCGCCGAGCAGGGAGCCCGATGCGGGACTCGACCCTGGGACTCCAGGATCATGACCTGAGCCGAAGGCAGTCGCTTAACCAACTGAGCCACCCAGGCGCCCAAAAGGCAGCTTTTTAAAAAAAGGCTCTCACTGGAGTAATGGAGGCTTGGTGGAATTTCTTCATTTAATTATCAAAGGTTTGTTGTTGCAGGTGTTGGAGATAATATGGTGAACAAGCTAGACCTGCTCACATGGGTCAGGTGGTGGAGATAGAATAGTAAGGTGACTGTTAGGATAAATGGCATGAGGGCTCGTTTCAGGGTGTTATGGAAAGATGTGCAAGGGGGTGCCTTAGCCACACTTGTGGGATGATGGTTTTAAATTTAGGTTTGCTGAGACTTGTGTAAACTAGGTTTTAAAGATCCAAAGAAATATGTTACCATTTTGAAGTTTTCCTCTGTAGCTAGTGTGACAGTGGTAGTAGTTTTGACAATATTACCCTGCCAGGAACTGGGATAAGCTCTTCATGTACATCAATTCTGACAATTAAGTCCTATCCTGGTTTTCCAAATGAGGAAATTAGGTACAGAGAGGTTAGGTAACGTCTCCAAAGTCACATAGGTGAGATCTATTTCATATGTGTAGGTGTTGGAGCTCAGATTCCAATCCAGTTGGTGTACTGTGGGCTTCCATGCCCATAAACACTCCTTGATACTGTTTCTGAAGTCAGCAGCCATAACTGTTGCTAAAAACAGGTCAGTGCCAAAGTTAACAAATGAACAGTAGTTTTAAAATTTATTAAAGTATGGTAGAAATGCTGAAAAATATACTTTTTTTTCATTATAGTTACACAAGATAAAATTAGGATCAATAAGTAGAAGTTTTGAGGAAGTTAGATTTCATTCAAGCTAAAGAAGAATGATTTCATTTATTAAGCACACAGTTTATCTGCCATGTATTTTGTCCACTGAGCACTCCGATAGCCCTTGGAGGTATGGTGGTGAACAAACCAAACTCGTGAGTACTATTTAAGAAATGAACTGAGGGGCGCTTGGGTGGCTCAGTTGGTTAAGCGTCTGAGTTTGGCTCATGTCATGATCTCGGGGTCCTGGGATGGGCACCCTGTCTGCTTGTTCCTCTCTTTCTCTCCCTCCCCCCCACTTGTGTTCGCTCTCTCAAATAAATAAATCTTTTAAAATATTATTTAAAAAAAAAGAAATGAACTGCAGTGGGACAGAGATAGAATAATATTAGAAAACCTCCCTGAGATGGAGTAGCCAAGAAAGCCCCTGAGGAGGTGACATTAAACTAAGACATAAAAGGTAAGAAAGCGCAAGACATTTTGAGGAGCAGCATGAAGGAAAACCCTTAGGTGGAAAGAATTGAGGATGTTAAAGTGGTGGCTGGGGCCTAGTGGGTAAGGGTAGTGTTGGCGGGAGTATATTGGAGAGGTCGAGAAAGTCAGCTGAAGTGAGTCTTTGTGGGCCATGGAAAGGATTTGGATTTTATCTGAAGCATAATGGAAGCCATTAGAAAGTTTTATTATCAAAGTAGTTCAGCAATGGAGTGGCTTTTTTTTTTTTTTTTTTTTCAGCTTTGGAGCGTCTCTGAGGGAGGCTTAGCGCTCTTGGGGGAGTTTTGTTTACTACTGTTTTACCAGTGCCTGGCATTTTATATGTACTCAGCTTTACTTATTGAGTGAATGAATGAATGAATGAAGGGTAGGTCTTAATGATTGCTGGCCTTGAAATTCAGATTCTGAGTATTAAATGAGATAATGTCAGATATGCAGTACAGAGCCTGGCATGTAGCAGACATTTAAATACTCCCTAAAGCTTCAGGAGGAGGATGGGAGGGTTGTAGAGTACCGGAAGAGCCTCTGGGATGTTAGTGTTCATTTGGAGAAAGTAGGCTTTTCAGAAGAGAAAACCTCAGAGTACAGTGGTGCATACTTTTAGGAAAGCAGTTTGGAACTAAGTATTAGTAACTTAAAGATGTTCATAACATTTAAATGAGTGAAGATAATGGAAAGTCACTTAAACATGAAACACGGGAATGGTTAGGTTGAACGTTAAGATGCATTTCATCAACTATTTAGGGGCCATTAACAGTGCTTGTGGGAGAGTATGTGCTAGAACATGGAAAATACTTATAAAAGAGAAAAAATATAACACCGCACATAGGTAATCTGTTCATGCGTAATTAAAACTATAAAAATACTATTCCGTTCATTAAAAAAGAACTATTGCAATTTCCCAAGAAAATACAAAATAATTTTGATAGCATTACTTTTTGTCTTCTAGTTTTTTTAATATAAAGAAGTACTTTATATTTTTAAAAATACCACACCCTGTATTACATCTCTTTTCCTTCCTGCCTGACTCTTCTCTCCCCTTCAGTACTTAACTATTTCATTGTCCTGGTAGTTCATGAATTTATCTGGCTTGTTACTTGGATGAAACCCAAAACATCCTGCTGTAGTTACTTTTAACCAGTCCTAGGTTACAGGGAAAAGAACCTTGGCAAGTGTGTAGAGTACAGACGGTCCTTTGCGTGGTAGCCTGGGTTGTCAAAATGTGCAAGTGGAAACCATGCAGAATGGTCAGAATAACTGATGAGAAAGCGTATGATTCTTCAATGACCTAAAAATTCTTGTCAGCATTAAATGACAGACTCTTAATGTTGATCGAAAATGTATAGGGAAGTGAAAAAAATAGTAAAGCTAATATTGAGAACAGTATAATTTAAAACATTAGAAACCAAGAATTTATTTCTTTGTGAAAAAACGTGTCAAAAGTAATTTGACCAGTGCTGGTCTTCTAGTCAGATAACTTACAATACAGAACAAACATCTCTTTTATGCCTTGGCAAAGTGTCATACTGCTTTCTAAGGTTGGATCAACTTCCAGCATTTTATCCCGTATGCTTTCAACCTTATGCAGTATCTCCAAGAGTTCCTTTAATGGGAAGACTTTTTGCTGGCGTCCTTTCCTCTGGGACATCTTCATCCTTTTGGTCATAGCCACTTTCCTCACTTACGCTGGTAAGTTGGCCTTCACAAATTTCCTCTGACGCGTATCTAGAATCTCTCTTGGACAGCAGTGTCCATAGTCCCACGGCTGGCTATGTCTTTTGTAACTTTACATTGGACTTGACTTTCACTTTCAGTGTTAGCACTTTTCATTTATTTGCTGCACTTTGATCTTTGTTGGCTAGTTCCCTCTTTTGATTATCTATTTTTGGAAAATGTCACTGTGTTAACTGTAATTTGAATCATGGTGTTGGAAGACTTGTGTTACTTGTGGGAACTGAAGTTCATGCATGTTGTTACTGTGTAAAGCAAGGACTGTCTGCTTGACTGTTCTTTTTAAGTTGTTTTCTTAGTGAGGTGGTTCTGGAAAAGCTTTTTCATCCTCTTCATGTACTAGTGTCTTCTCACTGGGCCTCACCTTCTGTTCAGAACCACTGGCCGAATGTGACTTGAGGGGAATGGTGGGAATAATGTTGCCAGGGCTTCTTAGGTGGGGTGAGAAAACAGAAGAAAAGAGAAGAATCAAGTATTGGACATACTTTGAGGGAAGTTCTCGACATTCTTTGCCACATATCTTTCTTTTCTGGAAGGTTGCCTCCTAGTCTTCAATCTGGTGTAAAGGGAAGTTAGTATCCGATGATGAAGCCTTACCTCCAGATCTGTAAGGAATTGGGAATTATGCTTCCACATTTGCTAGGTTGCTCTGTGTGACTTTTTTCTTTATGGCATTTAAGTCAGAGGGAGCAGGTCTTTTTTGCTTGTTTTCGTGTTGAGTAGACAGTCATCTAGACACAAGTGTGTTCGGACTTTTGATCAGTCAGTGGAGCATCAAGGCACCCTCGGAGACCACCAGTCATCTAGGAACACCGTTGAGAACCAGTGCTGTGATGGAGGCCTTTTTTCTGTGTCTCAAGTACTAGAAGATAGGGCCACTTTTCCTTTCTCATTTCTCTTTCACCATAAGAGGGGCCGCTGGGAAAGTTTTAGTATTTGATAATTGTAAAAGACTTGTTAATGTGCTTTTGTTACCACTTCCCAAACAAATGCTACACGTTGAAATAAACATTTAATATTGAAAACATATATGATATTTGAATAGCATTAATGAAATGTCAAATAGAGGAAAGATGAAAAATAACACCTGTAGTTTTCCCACGTCCACAAATTAGGTATCCTTGTCTGTTCAATGAGACATGTTTGTCAGCC